AATCTGTGCATGGGGGCTTAGGCAGGAATAGAAACCGGATACGTGGAAACAGACAAGGGCAAATCCAGAAGAGTAGTCAGACACGGTTCCAAAAGTCAGGGCAGGCAGCGAAAAGGCAATAACGAATAATCAAAACAGAAAGGGTCACAAGCCAAGTCAGTCTTCGGAAACAGGATACAAGAAACAACGAACTGACAATGTTCTCAGGGAGGGACAGTGTTTTATGTGATGTCCAGCCCCATAGTGCTGCAGGCAATGACAAGAAAACAAGGTTAGAACCAAAGTTCAGAAGTGGCTCAGAGGCAGGCTTAGGATGCAGAAGGCCACAGGTTCAAATCCCCCGCCCTGTTGGGCACTTCTGGGGCAACCACTCCTGGCTCTATAGATGGCACGGTGAAAACCGTGACAGTACCACCCCCGTTTAAGAATGCCCTCTGGGTGTGAACAGGTTCTTCGTAGAGGTAGTAATTCTCACTGTTGGAGTCCCCATCCGTAGAATAACATTCCTCGATATCAGAGTCCCCAGAGAGGGGTTCCTTCACAGTAAGGAGCCCCATAGTACCCACTTCTGGTACCGTTGGAGAGTTGGCATGCCTGAGGATTTAGGTACACCAACAGGAATGAAGTTAGCAGATTGTAATGCTTTTTCAAATGTTTCCAAATCTTTTATGCCAGGGGTTCTCAACCCAGTCCTCAAGGACCCAGGATTTAGGGATTACCTGGGTGTGTCTAAGGTGTTTTTTTTTTTCTTTTTCTAAACATCTAAACCCAGATAATGCCTAAATCCTGGACTGGTAGGGGATGCTTGAGGACTGAGTTGAGAAACCCTGCTTTATGCAGACTTTAATACCATTAGAGGCATAGGTACAATCCGGAGGTAGATCTTTGAGCAGACAGGAAGTGGTGATGGTACAGGTTTTAACATGAGTGTCTTCAGGAGAAGGTGCAGACATCTCTGGAGCAAGAGATGGAGAATTTCTCAGGGAGGCCAAGCACGGACAGGCATGTCGGTGTCTTTGAGGTTTTACAGGCTGGCATGCAGAGCTCATAGGACGGCGAAAGGTGGTAGCCAATCGGAGAGCTGGAGGCCTAGGTGGGCGAACAGGGCAATGATAGATAAAGTGACCCCTTTCTCCACAGTAAAAACAAAGGCCATGGCTTCTCCTCCAGGCTCTTTCTTCATGAGTCAGTCACTTTGAGCTTGACTAGTCCTATTTCCATAGGTTCCTCAGAGTCAAGAGGAATATAGGATACCTCTGGAGTCTTCCTAGGAACCGGATCATAAGGAGGCAACAAGAAGGTGTGGTGTTGGTTATCCCTGTTTCTGGGAATCTTGGATACTCTGAAATGTGGAGCAGACCTTGGAGCAGCAGATTTTCTAGAAGTCGTGCACTGCGAGTCCATTGCAGTCATGAACCCCCAGCTGTCAAGGACAGGACTCTTAGCCAGCATCATCTGGTGTGACCATGTCTTAATCCATCCAGACAGCAGGTTGATAGCCGCACGGACCATGATAAAGTCACTGGCTTATGTCCGAGGCTTTGAGGCAAATAAAATGTCCCAATCCACCTTAAAGCACTGGAAGGATGCACGGTTACCGTAGAATCTTTCTGGCATAACAACAAATGGCACAGAATAAGCAGGTTCCGGGGCTGGGCGTACTGTTCCTTTAAGAAATCGAAATTCTCGCTGCAGCTCCGAAACAGTCTGGGCCTGGCTGGACACTTGCTGGGTAACCAGTGTACAGATCTCTGTGGACTCCATAATGGTCAGTTTATTATGTCACGGCTTACCTTATTTGTAGTCCGAAGTGCAGAGATGTTTGCTCACCCTTGCAGATAAACACAGCCCACGGTAACCAGATAAGGAGCTACCTGGGCTGTGAATCTGTGCACGGGGGCTTAGGCAGGAATAATAACTGGGTACGTGGTAAACAGACAATGGCAAATCCAGAATTGTAGTCATACATAGTTCCAAAAGTCAGGGCAGCCAGCGAACAGGCAATAACGAATAATCAAAACAGAAAGCCAAGTCAGTCTTAGGTATACAGGATACGAGAAACAACGAACTGACAATGTTCTCAGGGAGGAACAGTGTTTTATGCCCAGCTAATGAGTGAACTGCCTCAGGTGAACTTAGATGGACAGGTAGGAGCGAATGGCGATGTCCAGCCCCCTAGTGCTGCAGGCAATGCCAGGTAAACAAGGTTAGAACCAAAGTTCAGAAGTGGCTCAGGCTTAGGATGCAGAAGGCCCCAGGTTGAAATCCCCTGTTGGGCACTTCTGGGGTGACCACGCCTAGCTGTCTGGATAACAGGGTGAGAACCGTGACAGTCATAGGCGTGCGCACGGGGTGTGCCGGGTGTGCCTGGGCACACCCTAATCCCCGTGGCACGCCTATGGTTTGAGTCCTGCAGGAACAGCGTTCCTGCACATTTTTTGAGCAGGAACGCTGTTCCTGCAGGCACTCAGTGCCCCTTGTCTCACCTCTTGCCCCTGTCATGGGGGGGCAAGAGGTGATGGATTCCCCCCCCCCCCTCCAGCTGAGCCGCGGCGAGGGAGCTGTATGGTCTCTGCTGTCTGCTCCCTCTCGCCGCGCGCTGATGCCGGGAGCCGGAATATGACGTCATATTCCGGCTCCCAGCTACAGCAGACAGCCCGCGCGGCGAGAGGGAGCAGACCGCAGAGAGCTCCCTCGCCGCGGCTGAGCTGCAGAAAGGCGCCCGCCCCACTGGACCCCAGGGAAAAGTCCACCAGCACTCCAGGTAGGAGGCTGGGTGGACATTTGTTTTTAATTGAAAATATAATAATTTGTTCTTGTGTGTGAGTGTGTGTATGTGAGTGTGTGTGTGTGTCAGTGAGTGTGTCAGTGAGTGTGTCTGTGTGTCAGTGAGTGTGAGTGCGTGTGTCAGTGAGTGAGTGCGTCTCTGTGTGTGTCAGTGAGTGTGAGTGTGTGTGTCAGTGAGTGTGTGTGTCAGTGAGTGTGAGTGTCTGTGTGTGTCAGTGAGTGTGTGTCTGTGAATGTGTGTGTGTGTGTGAGTGTGTGTCAGTGAGTGTATGTGTGTCTGAATGTGTCTGTGAGTAAGTGGGTGTACGCATATATATATGTATATATATATATATATATATATATATATATATATATACACACACACACACACACACACGCAGAGCCGGCGCTATCTGAGTGCCGGCTCTGCTCTAAGCCTACATGGGCCGGCGGGGAGACCAAAAGATCTACCTCACCGGCCCACAGCAGCATGGAGAAGGCAGGAGAGGACCCAGGGAGCTCTAGACAGAAGCTCCGCCAGGTTCCTCTCGCGATATCTGAGTGTTGCTGCGGCAACGCTCAGATCTCGCGAGAGTTAACTCTAGCCCTGCAGGCTAGAGTTCACTCTCCACTGGACCACCAAGGATGGCACATGGCAGCAAGGATTTACTAATCTGCCAAATCCCTCCAAACATACAGCACATACATACAGCACCTACACACATACAGCTCACACACACACAGTACACTAACCGCACCCTCACAAACACACACAGCACCTTTAAAAAAAAAAACGCAACACCCTCACACACAGCACACTAACAGCACCCTCACAAACACACACACACACAAACAGCACCCTCACAAATACACGACACTCACACAAACAGCACCCTCACAGGACAAACATACACACACAAACAGCACAGTCACAAACACACACACACAAACACCCTCACATCACACTAACAGCACCCTCACACACACATCACACTAACAGCACACAGCACACTAACAGCACACACAGCAGTGTGTGTGTGTGTTTGTGTGTGTGCATCTATCTATCTATCTATATATATCTATATATATATATATATATATATATATAGATATATATAGATATATCCACACACACACACGCGGCGTGTGTTTGTGCTTTAGGGTGCACACCCAAATGCAATAGGCTGCGCACGCCTATGGTGACAGTCATTATATATGTCCTTTCTATAGCTTGAACTTGTCTGGTGATTTCTCAGGTCTCTCTCATCAACAAGAGAACTGTACTCCCGAGACATACCGGCCTATGTAAAACTCAGTGTGCTCTGCTGGACCCAACACATCCAGGCTTTGACAATCACACCATGATTAAAGCCACTTACACCATGCATCTAACACTTATTAACATTTTGCCAAACAACAACTAAATCTTTGAATGTGACAGCATCGTTTCTAAAAGTTGTTTTTGCACGATTGGCTGATTGTTTTTTTGTTCAGTTATACGTTAAAGTGCTGGTATACTTAAAAAAAAAAAAAAATACTCACAAAAGTTTTGCGATACAACTGCTGCAAATATTAGTAGAAATTGAAAATGAATTGTCTAAGTAAGGTCAGATACTCCTGCCTGAGATAATACAATCCATGGCTGGAAGAAATATGTCAAACTATCTCACAAATGTCTAAACCGAATGAAAACGTTAGTTCAGGATATAGACTGTTTTTTATTGTATACTATGGAGAATCAGTCCACTCGAATGACTGTCTAACGTTTTCCTACATATCCACATATAACAGAGATACAAATAACTAATAACACGAAAGCAATTGTTGCAGATTGTCTTATCTGCCAATTTTGTTGCAAACATCTGAAAGTCTAAAAAATGCAGAAGTTTCTCTCAGAATTCCACGCTTCAATACACAAAAAACAAAAAGTACAATATAAATGTAGTTAATAATATTATCTGGTTCTTTTCCAACGAATCTTCTTAGATCTCTGATTATCTCTGATTTATCAACATTCTCATTGAATAGAATTGAATAATCTGTAAATTGTGGACGTTTGGTCATCCTTGAAGATTGGTTTGTCGGGATGTGTGTCTGGCAGCCATTTTAAAATCACACTAAAGAGCTCAGCATCAAAATAAGTTCTAAAAGAGTATAGCTATACAGGTTCATACTAAATAACTAAATGCTATATCTACCAGAACCTGCAACCTGCTTACCGTCTGTGGTGACTAACTTTTAGTAGAAGGAGCTGCAAAACACTTAAGCTGGGTAGTAAACGCTTTTTACCCCAGAAAAACTAGATTTAAAAAAAAAAAATGGATTGAAGAGGGTGCTGAAAAACCCACAAGCGCCGCAAACTCGTTACATTTTTTTTGTTGCATTAAACTCTACAGACTGGAGTGTGAAAATCATATGAGATCAGCAGTTTCTGAAATATTACACATTTGGCACCAACAATTATTCGACAGTTGAAGTCACTTAAAGGAACACTCGAACCACCATGACCACTTCAGTCAATAGTGTTATAGTAACTATTTAAATCACATCCTATTTTGATGTAGTTTGAACAATAACTGAACCTCTTGACCACTTCTACATGCTTTTATGCATTGAGTTGCTGTCATACAAATCATTAGAGCAGTCATGTCCAAAGTCCAGCCTGCGGGCCAATTGCGGCCCGCGTTCTGGTTTAATACAGCCCCGCAGGTAATTTGGCTAATCTATCTGTTGTGGCCCCCCAGTGAATCCCCGAGCACTGCTCAGGATTCCTGGATCTTTGAACGCCGCGGTCCTGAGTGCACTCACTGCTCATCCTCAGTCTGCGTTCTTGCAATCTCTTGGACGTCGACGTCGCAGGATTTGGTTCCTTCTCCCTGGAGGCAGAGATTGAAGGGTCATAATAAAAGAGGGAAGGGGCAGAGAATGAAGGGGCAGAATAAAAGAGTGAAGGGGCAGAATGAAGGGACAGAATAAAAGAGAGACAGAATAAAGAGATGAAATGAAAAGTATGCCGTTGCAATAAATTTTGCATAAAATAGTTCAAAATGGTTCAAAGAATGTCAGGCAAAATGGTTGGCCCTCACGCATGTTCACTTCATTAAATTTGGCCCTCTTTGAAAAAAAGCTTGGACACCCCTGCATTAGAGATTTGCACTAACGAGGTATATATAATAAAGTAGCCATTGGGTGAATATGCACCAATGCTGCCTTTAAATAAATATGTCTCAGAATTCTGCAAGCCATTAAAATAAATCATTTGTGCCAGAGTTTAGCCTTCAATAGATACAGTTTAAACAAGGCAAAGTGTAGATTTTGTCAGTAATGTTATTAATTTGGGAGGGTTAGCTTTAGAGTCTCCCCTATTTCTGTAAGTGCAGGGTAGCTTTTACGAGAAGGCACATTTATATTACACATTAATATTGATTTATGAAGTAGAAGCACTATATCACGTTATACAGCTATATCAATGGCATACGCTGAACCGCAAAATAAAAATCATTTATTTCATACAGCTTTTTTATTTTATTTTTTTATTTTTACCACAGCATTTATATTTAAAACCTTAAACAAATGGACCCTAAACAGATTGTCCTAAAAGTATATTAAGCAGTCACTAAAAGTACGAGTTTAAAAGTGTTGATTGGATTACAATAAAAGTCCATTTGTTCACCCTAATGTCTAATGTCTTCGGTCTAATTGCATTTTGATTGCGAAGGGTTTTGATTTATTATGATCATTTGCAATGCCATTAGACTCCCCAACGCTAGCACTGATCGCATCGGTTTGGATGGGTAGGGTAATTTAAACAGTTTGCATTGCTTATTGAATATTTTGTTCAGATATGGTCTTAAATTAGAGGGGCAAAGGTTTAAAAATAATATCAGGAAGTATTACTTTACTGAGAGGGTAGTGGATGCATGGAATAGCCTTCCAGCTGAAGTGGTAGAGGTTAACACAGTAAAGGAGTTTAAGCATGCGTGGGATAGGCGTAAGGCTATCCTAACTATAAGATAAGGCCAGCGACTAATGAAAGTATTTAGAAAATTGGGCAGACTATATGGGCCAAATATCTGCTGTCACATTTTATGTTTTTTGCACAACTGAGCTGAATGAAAATGTTTCAGCACCTAAAATCACAGCGTCTCCAACTGGGTTTGGAATATTCAGGCATTCCCACGGAGCTGCCTATTCTCCATCCTACAAATGACCCGTTCAGTTCTGTACAACTGCATCCAGTTAAATTTAAAATTATTTGAGTGCAAATACCCATAATACCCCACGCAATTTGTTCCCGAATTATTCTAACATATGGTGCCTCCATTTCGTTTTTTTTTCACATGTTTGAAAAACCCTGTTACAAGTGGGACAATTTAAACAAAAAATGATGTAACGTGTTGATTTATGAGTCAAATCAACTCAAGATACCTCTGCCTGTATAAATCGTGACTTTGTACAAATCCCACTGCCAATTTCTTTAAGCCTTGGCAAAGTCACTATTTATGTACGGTGGGCTGCCAATGCAAGAATCAGTGTCTCATGGCACGAATTTCCTTCACTTTTAAACTTCTTTAGGCATAGGACATCACAAGGCAAAAATACGTGTTAAAAGGATCGTTCTCGATATTCAGGACAGACAAAGAAGGACACACGGGAGAATGTAGTTATGTTAAACTGATACAGACACTTAGTGACAGGGATCACTTCCCATCTGTCACTAACAGCCTCTAACACAGGAAATGTGGGACAGCACAGAGTGATGCACACTGTATAACAGCTACTGCAGCTCTAATATCATCAATCTGATTGGTTTACAGAAGACATAGAGAGAAATTTGCTAATAATCCTTCAAACTCCGGCAGTCAAAGCCTCAACCTGAAGAACAGTAATCCTTAATTTTGGGATTATCACCAATAAGGAGCGAAACACTCAGTGTACACCAATACTAAATTTCCTTGTACTACAAATGTAACCCCTCTAAAGCTATTTATCATCTTAACACTAAACATCCTATGTAACCTAACTCTGACATTATCCCCTCTCTAACCTTAACCCCCTATTACCATAACCACCTCTAACATAACTCATGCAATACATTACAAGCAGAGATAGGCACATACATACATTTATACATACGCAGTTGTCAAATAAGAATGTTTTTTTGATGTTTGTAGGCCTGCAATGTCCTGTTAATACATTTATTATACTTACTTCATCTGCCTTATTTTGGTTTTGGCGAACAGGGGGTCTAGAGGCGCCTGACATTTAAACCAGGCACTGAATAAAGTGTTCCTTTATACATGTTACCTTGGGTGCCATGGCAACATGCACTTACATAATGCAATGTTATGGTGATATCTACTTCCACCAAATGAACGAAACATGCAAGAAAATTAAAGTTAATCAGTCATCAGTGTGGCAGCCCCTCCTCCTTGGCTGAGATCACTAATTTTGATCATCTCAGCCAATCACTGTAGGGTGGCACTGTGCATGTGCTGCTAATCAATTACTATCAATGAATCTGTATGAAGAGCGTGAATATGCAGAATGTAGGTCCTTCAAAGGTTCCAGAAAGTCACTCTGCTCGCTATCCAAGGGGCAGCCACTGGAGGTGGACTTGGTCAGCAGTGTAAAAAGTGCCTTTTCTCTGAAAAGACAGCGTTTAAACTCCTGAACCTGCAGGGACATTATACTGAGCTGTAGTGGTTCTGGTGACTATAGTGGCCCTTTGTTCAGCAGTTTTCCATAATAAATATATATGTGGGTAATCTGACAAGTCTTCTCCATTCTACTGGTGAGATAGACAGTGTGACTACAACATTTCCTCAGAACTAACAGAAAGTGTACTACAAGCATGTCAATCTCAAAGGCTGGCACGGGCCACATAAACGAGGTTTCAGTTTATGTGGGCCGCAAAAAACCCCCAAACCTTACATTTTCATAGAAATGTAGGCTTGTTTTGAAAAGTACAGTATATATTTAAAAAAAAAACAGCATCCCCCTCTACTAAATCCAAGCCCCCCCTTCTGTACTAAATCCCAGTCCCCCTCTATACTAATTCCCAGTCCCCCCATCTATACTAATTCCCAGTCCTCCCATCTATACTAATTCCCAGTCCTCCCATCTATACTAAATTTCAGTCTTCCTGCTCCCTCACACTCGCAGTTTAGTGATGCTGGGTGCTGGAATATGACGTCATATTCCGGCGCCCGTCATCACTACAGAGGGCGCGTGCGAGGGAGCAGTGAGGAGCAGGAAGACTGAGCTCCCTTGCTGCCGCCAGCAAACTCTCCTTCCCGGCCGGGTACATTTTTAGCAGAGTAGGCACCTGCAATGTAAGGAGAGCAGGTGCCTACTTTGCCTTAGTTATCATGTCTCAAACTCAAGGCTTGCTGGGCCGCAAAGATACTCACTGTGGGCCGCGTGCGGCCCGGGGGCCTCGAGTTTGACATGCTTGGTGTACTAGATTGTTCTAACAAGGGAAATAAACTCTGCAATTTCATGATAGTAATAGGTGTCAATATTAAAGTGACACTTAACCCTCAACATGCCTGTTATTAATCTATAATATATTTTTTATTTTTTTTTATAGTTTTTTGGATTATTTATTATTTTTATCTAATCAAGCTATGGTAAATTTAGCTATATGTCCATATGAAGATCCCTTAGTGGCTCAGCATGGAGGCAGCTATTTTGGAATTGTATCAACATTTTCAAAACCTTCAGTAAGAGTTACTGGTAAAACCAAGGCAGCCAATCAGACTGTAAAACAGGAAATGGATCTTTGAATTCGATGATGATGCTCAGTACAAATCATGCCCAAGATCAAATGGACATCTTTTGTTTGATTCTAAAGACAAGCTATAGTGATGAACTGAATTTACTGTTCATTATCCAAGTACAGTAAAGGAAATTAGCAACTGGGATGCTCAACCATTCTATATAGACTAAAGACTGTGATCTAACTCTTTCCATTCATGATAAATACAGAGACCATGGTAAATACCTTTAGACTTGCAGTCAGACCCTGTGTAGACATTAAGTAGTCTGTTAATGATGTATAAACTACATATTCTTTAATTAGGACCTACACAGTCTGCATAGTATAACCTTGTGAGCAGACTGGGATGAAATGGGGTGACAGTAATGTATTATTTAACTGGTTCTCATGTGATATGACACTGTATGTAAAATCAAGATTCCAGTTATTACCAGTGCAGGAAGCCCCCAAAATTCTTACAGAAAGCAGTTAATGAACACTAGAAGAAAATTACTGTTATTATTATTATCACTGAAATTTATGCTAGGTTAACATAGTTTGCAGTGGGTAACAATTTTGATGTGGGAATATGTAAAAAAAAAAAAAAAACAACTAAGAAACAAACTATTGAAAATGTTAACGAGAAACTACTGTGGTCCATGTTTCCATGTCTAAGCTGCAGGTCAGAAGAATTCATATTTTGCATCAGAAAAGCTAAATATCAAAGGCCGTGTGTGGCTGACACATAGAAAATCATGGGGTATTTTCAAGGGTTAATTGCCATTAAAAATAGAAACTTGGGCAGCTTAAGAAAAACGATGGTGGCACAGGATAAGGTGAGAGGTGGTTATGTAGAATTTGTCGCACAATGCAGGATTAAGCAGCCACGAACTTCTTATTACTTTTATTCGTTAGAATACTATTATACTATTACAAACGATAGAAACATTAAATATAGGCAACTTCTGAAGGTAAATATAATAATAAGCCAATTAGGACATCCCACGCATGATGTGCAAGCATGTTTAATAATGCATTCACGTGGAGTTTTTTTCTCTGGCTCTAGAGAAGAACATGTGGAATGGGATGACCCCCAAATCAAGACAGTCCCTCAAGATCCAGGAATGTTGGGAAGTGTGAATTTTAAGCACTCTTGATTTACTTGGTGGGACTGTTAAACCTGCTTCTAGTCCTGGCGCTGCTGCATGGCAGTGTCGAGAAGCATGGCTTTAAGTCCACATTAAACTCCATCAAGCTAATGCATCTAGACTGAATGCCAAAACCCTAACCGCAAATGCCAGTGGTTTCAGCCACTGTGCTTCCAGAAAACTCACAAAAGAAGATTAAAAAACAATAATCTAATAACTGCTGAGAAGTAAGGTTTTCAAGAAACAGCCTTGTTCTGCATGGGTCTATATCTGCACGACATACAAACCCTCTGCACACAGCACATGCACTGAGACTTCCTCTTAAATCAGTTTCTCTGCTATTGTCCTAAGCTTTGCGTGTTTAGAATAGCGATATTTTATTTAACCAAAGGAAACGAGCAGACCTTGTGGTCTGAAATGTTCTCAACGCCCATGCTAACAACTTAGCACTGGAAACACATTGTGGCTACTAATCAGATACCCTGAAAGCGGCCGGTCGCCAAAAAAAATGCCTTTATCAAAAAATAGATCATAAACCGCCTATATATCATTTATTTCAGAAAGCATTTGGACAGTGTTAAAATAAATTACATTTCTTTTAAGCTGCCATTGAATACACGTTGTGAGGTGTGAGAACATATCTTAACAGTCTAACTTTTCTTTTCTGATTCCTGCACCACTCAAACACTACACAGATTTAACAGAGTTTTAAATGAAAGAAAAAGTTGGGAAATATAATGTTCTAAGCATAGCAGCGATGGACACTTGTAAGTGGATTACAAGACACTTCAGAACAGATTTGTAGAGCATAAAAATAAAAATGCAAAATTAAACAAACGTTACGGAACTCAAAATATAACTTGCTTTAAGCAAATTTGCACCTTTTTTTCAGATACCAGGAAGTAGAGGAGAGTTCTAAGCGCTCCTTATCCTCACATTGTTCTTAGTGTAGTTTTGTTTATGAAAAGTCATGAATGAAACCACTGTGCATGCTAATAGTGGGCAGAACTCTTCATGTTTTTGGCAATGAGGGTAGCTATAACTACACAAGGTCTGCCATAGAAAGTTAGGAATCAGTTTGTGGGCAGTTTTATAACGTTTACACACTACATATATTTGAGGTTTACAAAATAAAAATACCAGAAAGAAGGAGACAAGGGTCTCAGATGCTTATACCTGTTCCTTAAAAATTCGATTTTCAATGTCGATGCTTTAGTATACAGGCTATATGGATAATTGTCAAAAACTTGCAAATTCTAGGACACATTTTCCAAATTACAGAAATTCTGTACGTCATGGAGAAATGGAAATTGTTAAATTAGACAATTAACAATCTATGAATGACAATCACGTGTCCAAGATAGTCTGTCTGCTCACTCCAAACTGAGTTAGGGATACATTAAGTGAAAATAGATTTGCATTGGCTTCCTGTAAGATATAGGGCTCAATATAAAATTCTGGTTCTTGCTTTCAAATTTCTACATAATGCTGCTCCCACCTATCTATCCTCCCTTATACACAAGTATGTCCCGTCTAGGCCCTTACGCTCTGCTGAAGACTTGCATCTATCTTCTATCCGTACTCCCACATCTGATGCTCGCCTTCAAGTCTTCTCGAGGGCTGCACCGTTCCTGTGGAACTCACTTCCCTCCTCCGTTAGATGCTCACCCAGTCTCCACTCCTTCAAAAAATTATTAAAAATTCATTTTTTCATAAAAGCGTATCAATTATTATTATTGTTATTATTATTATTGCCATTTATATAGCGCCAACAGATTCCGTAGTTCTCTACAATATTATGAGAGGGGGGATTTAACTATAAATAGGACAATTACAAGATAACTTACAGGAACGATAGGTTAAATAGGGCCCTGCTCAAACGAGCTTACAGTCACTTAAACTGTTAATGGCTCCAAAACCCCACACTAAGTCTTCATTGAATATTATTCTATCAATCTACTTCCCTAATATTTCCCATACGTTTTGTGTCACTTTACCCCACTCCCTCTAGCATGTAAGCTCATTGAGCAGGGCTCTCAACCCGTCTGTTTCTGTGTCCAACTTGTCTGGTTACAACTACATGTCTGTTAGTCCACCCATTGTACAGTGCTACGAAAACCGTTGGCACTATATAAATATCATAATAATAATAATAATAATAATAATATGGAAAACAATCTTCAAGCCAGCAATATTTCCAGTTTGACTATTGAGGCTTTTCAATAAAATTCACATTGAACCCCTTTACTAGGTTCATTGTGCTGTTACAATCTGTCTCCCTGATTCTGCCTCTCGGTTTGATCCCAGAATCAGTGGGGAGCACCCAACTTGCAGCCTTTGTGTTAGGATATGTTAGATATGTAACTCAACAATAAACACTGCAACACAGCCAAACCACAGGACACATTTTAGCAAGGTAAACATCAGCATGAATTAATGTGCTATTAGGAATATACTTTATTAAGATCACATATGTAGGGAGGTCAAACAGTAACGTAGATCAGATATTATACGCCGACATGAAAATACTAATTCACTAGTAATCTTATCAAGGACAGAGTTTACCATCTAACTCAGAAATGTATACTTTTACATCTCTATCAGCCAAGGTTAGACTATACTGACATATCCCTAATTCATTCATGCCAAGTGTCCCTGTTCAGGAGGGACAGTCCCTATGTTGGGCTCAATTCCAACTGTCCCCTTTTTTCTCCTAATGTCCCTCTTTTCTAGGAGCTCTGTATTGTTTGTGTGTCTGACCGTATAACAGAGTTCCACAGCAATGCTACTCCCAGTAATGTGTCTGAGTGTATGACAGAGCTCCACAGCAATAATACTCCCAGTAATGTGTCTGAGTGTATAACAGAGCTCCCCAGCAATAATATTCCCAGTAATGTGTCTGAGTGTATAACAGAGCTCCACAGCAATAATACTCCCAGTAATGTGTCTTACTGTATAAAAGAGCTCCACAGTAATAATACTCCCAGTAATGTGTCTGAGTGTATAACAGAGCTCCACAGCAATAATACTCCCAGTAATGTGTCTGAGTGTATAACAGAGCTCCACAGCAATAATACTCCCAGTAATGTGTCTGAGTGTATAACAGAGCTCCACAGCAATAATACTCCCAGTAAAGTGTCTGAGTGTATAACAGAGCTCCACAGCAATAATACTCCCAGTAATGTGTCTGAGTGTATAACAGAGCTCCACAGCAATAATACTCCCAGTAATGTGTCTGAGTGTATAACAGAGCTCCACAGCAATAATACTCCCAGTAATGTGTCTGAGTGTATAACAGAGCTCCACAGCAATAATACTCCCAGTAATGTGTCTGAGTGTATAACAGAGCTCCACAGCAATACTACTCCCAGTAAAGTGTCTGAGTGTATAACAGAGCTCCACAGCAATAATACTCCCAGTAATGTGTCTGAGTGTATAACAGAGCTCCACAGCAATAATACTCCCAATAATGTGTCTGAGTGTATAATAGAGCTCCACAGCAATAATACTCCGAGTAATGTGTCTGAGTGTATAACAGAGCTCCACAGCAATAATACTCCCAGTAATGTGTCTGAGTG